AACTCATCAATCAGTTCAGTAAAGTGGCAGGATACAAAATCAACACGCAAAAGTCAGTAGCCTTCCTATACACAAACAATAAATCTGAAGAGAAGAAATCAAAAAACCATCCTTTTGTTATTGAAACAAAAAAAATCAAATATTTGGGAATAAATCTAACAAAAGAGGTAAAGGACCTATACAAAGAAAACTATAAAACACTGTTAAAAGAAATAGAAGAAGACACAAAGAAATGGGAGACATCCCTGCTCGTGGATTGGAAGAATAAAAATTATTAAAATGGCCATTCTTCCAAAAGCAATATACAGATTCAATGCTATTCCAATCAAAATTTCAATGTCATTCTTCAAAGAAATAGAACAATTATTGATGAAATTCATATGGAATCACAAAAAACCCCGAATAGCCAAAGCTCTCCTGAAAAAAAAAGAAGGGAATGGAGGCATTACACTCCCAGACTTCAAACTATACTACAAAGCCATAATCATCAAAACTGCATGGTATTGGAACAAGAACAGACATACAGACCAATGGAATCGAATAGAAATCCAGAAATAAACCCACAGATTTATGGTCAACTAATCTTTGACAAAGGAGCAAAGACTATGCATTGGAGCAAAGAAAGTTTGTTCAATAAATGGTGCTGGGAAAACTGGGTCACTACATGCAAAAGAATGAAGCTTGACCACTACCTCACACCATACACAAAAATCAACTCAAAATGGATTAAAGAACTAGACATAAGACCTGAAACCATAAAATATATAGAAGGAAATATAGGCGAAACACTACGTGATTTGCACATCAAAGACATCTTTACAGACACATCACCCAAAGCAGTGATAGTGAAGGCAAAGATAAACAGCTGGACTACATCAAATTAAGGAGCTTCTGCACAGCAAAAGAGACAATAACAAAACAAAGAGAAACCCCACCAACTGGGAGAACATTTTTGCACCCAACACTAATGATAAAGGACTGATCACAAAAATCTGCAAAGAGCTGATGAGACTCAACAACAACAAAGAAAATAATCCAGTCAAAAAATGGGCAGAAGAGCTAAAAAGAAACTTCTCTGAAGAGGAAATGCAAATGGCCAACAGGCATATGAAAAAATGTTCAACATCACTTGTCATCAGGGAAATGCAAATCAAAACTACCATGAGATACCATCTTACACCAGTGAGAATGGCACATATTAAAAAAACTAGCAACAACAAATGTTGGCGAGGGTGTGGAGAAAAGGAACTCTTCTGCACTGTTGGTGGGAGTGCAAACTGGTCCAACCACTGTGGAAAGCTGTGTGGAGATTTCTGGACCTACTAAACATAGAGCTTCCATATGATCCAGCAATTCCACTCCTAGGTATTTACCCAAAGGACACAGAAACATCAATTCCAAAGAACACCTGCACCCCTATGTTTATAGCAGCACTGTTTACAATAGCTAAGCTTTGGAAACAACCCAAATGCCCAAAATAGATGACTGGATCAAGAAGATGTGGTACATATATACCATGGAATATTACTCAGCATTCAAAAAAGATAAACACATGCAATTTGCAGCAACATGGATGGCGCTGGAAGGGATCATGCTCAGCGAAATAAGCCAAAAAGAAAAAGAAAAATACCGGATGGTCTCACTCATAGCAGGAATCTAGAAAACTTAAATAAGGGACCAGGAAAATGAATAACTATAAGAAAGTGAAAATCAAAATCAACAAAAAACTATGAACCAGAGACACTTTTTTGGGGGGCGGGGGCAGGAGGGGTGGGATTGGGGTCAGAATGGGGGGGCTGCAATTGTATGGGGAATATAACAATAAAATTTATTATTAAAAAAAAAAAAAAGAAAGATAAATTTGTTGATGGAATAAAAATTTCATAAATTTTGGACATTCTTTCCCTTCACAAAGAAAAATGAATATTTAAATTGCGCTAAACCTGTATTCCCAATTATCAACAATTGAAACTTAGCAGGTCAAAATTGGAGGACACTGCCTCTAAATTTTCATACAGTCTCACCAGGATCAAAAACTAGGACCTGACCAGAGAGATACCACTGCACACCCATTAGGACAACTGCAATGAGAAACAAATATAAAACAAAACAGAAAAACATTGGCAAGAACATGGAGAAACTGGAACACTTGTATATTACTGGTGGGAATGTAAAATGTTGAAACCACTGTGGGAAAGAGTTTGGTGACTGCCAGAATCCAACAATTCCACATCTAGATATAAATCCAAAAGAATAGAAAGTGACTCAAACAGAAAGTACTTGTATATCAATGTTCATAGTAGTAGCATTTGCAAAAGACAAAAACATCTCCCATGTCCAACAGATGAAAGGATTTTTTCTTAAATCTGACACACACACACACACACACACACACACTGAATTGTTATTCTGCCTTAAAAAGTAAAGAAATTCCAATATATTCTCCAACATGGACCAAGCACAAACCATTATGCTAAGTAAAATAAGCCAGACACAACAGGACAAATACTGCGTTATTACACTTTCATGAGGTACCTAGAATAGAATGGAGATTACCAGCAACTGTGGGAGACACATGGATGGGAAGGGGAGTTCTTGTTTCATGGGCACAGAGCTTCTATTTGAGATGATGAAAAGATTCTGGAAGTAAAGAGGTGATGATTGCATGACATTGTGAATCTACTTAATGTCAATGAATTGTAGGTTTAAAAATGGTTGGTGTTAAATTTTATGTTTCATGTGTTTTATGATTAAAAAAAGAAATGGAACCTGAAATAAGGTATGCTAAATAAATTACTTTTCTGGTTCTCCCAACACATGACAGGTGAGATTCAGAAAAACAGTAACAATTTTTTTAAGTAGCTTGAACTGGACTCAGGCTACATCTTTTAGAAAATTAATGAACCAATCAAAATTTATTTTATTTAATTTCACGAAAAACAAAATTTCACTTCTATCACTTTCTGACAACCAAATTTTAAATTTTCCTTAGAAGATGTCACAAGAAAATTATGGGATTTCATACTTGGATTAGCTTTTTCCAAACTTAATTTCATCCCTCATGTATGAGAGTCTAAGATGAAGAAAATGGCTGCCTTGGGAATTGAAAAAAGCAAAGGATGCTAATGAGTTGCAACCTCCACATCCCTTCCCTTCTAATAATCAAAAAGGAGTATCACTTCATCTCTCAGCATGTGTTTTCAATGTTACAGGTCAGTGGAAATTAAAAAATATAAAGGTCCTAGTGCATATTATGGAAATAAGTAATTCATATTTTAAGGACTACTTCCAATATCAAATCTGGTAACACAATTCTGAAAAAAGTAGATTAACTGAAACACAGCATCCTTTTTAGGTGATAAAATCATCTTGTTTCCTTATAATTGAGGGAAAACCCATAATTAAGTCTTTCTCTCCCTTTCCTTCTCTTGTACCTTCCTTCTTCCCTCCCCTCTAGTCCACTTTTAATACTGACTCTGTTCAAACAGGATAAAATTACTGCCCACAGTGCTAACAAAATTAATGAGGAAAGATGTATATAGATCTCATGAAGATGTGCCCGAGTTTATGTTGCCAAGGAAACACTGACGTCTTAGATTTTAAATGGAAGAGTTTATATATAAAGAAAGTTGAAGTCAACAGAAAGTATTTTAAGAAAGAGCAAAGCACACACCACTTATCTTCAAATACCAATAAGTGACACATGAGAAATTGAAAAAAGACAATTAAATTTAGGCAACTATCAACAAATATGCATTAACCTGACTCATTTTAAAAGCAGTACTGTTTAATGAAATAAAAAACAGACTGAGAGTTAATAGTTGGGGCTTCCTTCTGGTGTTGACTTATGCAACTCAATAGCTCTGGAAAGCTGGAAAGCCTTGCACAAGTCATGTAATTAGTTAGCCTTGCACAAGTCATGTAATTCTGTTAGAATCTTCGTTTCCTCATCAGTAAAATGTGGACATAGAAACAATTAGTAAAGTCCCTTCCTAGAATCAAGTACTATAGTTCTATGATTTCAAAGGAAGAAACATTCTCACCATAAAGTTAGAATATGCCTATTATCTTCTAGGAAATCATAATAAACAGTTGTCATCCAGATTCTGAGATACATTTACCAGAAGTGACAACTATTGCTCATGCCCTTATTTGTCAGGATGTTTTTGATCACTCCCTTCTTTACACTAATAATGTCATACATAGCCCATGCACAGGGAAAAACATATAACAACCATAAGGCCCCCATCCAAATACAAAAATAACATCAAATTTATAGTTAGAATGAGATACCTTCTTAACTTTGTTATAAAAAAGATATGCCATTAAAAATATTCCTGGAAAGAAAGCAAACATAATCTCAATTTCAGAATCACCCAAAAAAAAGGGGGGGGGGGCGTTGGACGGTATGAATGGAAGGAAAGGAGAGAGGCAGGCACAGGGCAAAACTGAATACTGACTAGAAATCGTATCAAATTTGCTGTCCAACCCAAATATGTTTAAGTTGGGACACCCTGATGTTGCTCCCAAGGGAATTTCCACTTGTCTTTCATAGTAATTTGCAATTACACAATTCCTGAATTTATTTCTCATAGTTATGTATTGAACACTTCTGTTACTGCACTAGCCTACAGGCTGCTAAAGGCAGGAATGAGATCTTCCTAACCTGTCAGCCTATTCCCAATAGATCACTTCATACACTGAACATAAGTATGTTACATAAGTAACATTTGTTGATTGAATTAAGGAAATAAATAGGATCTTCATCTATATCAAGTGTTCCTGACTGGTTACTTCTCCAGAGCCTTTCAAGATCTAAAAACAAACAAAATCCCAAGTGTATATTTCCCAGTCAAATCTATTCTAAAATGCGTGTTCATAATACACAAAGGATTTAATTTCATAAAATATATCAAGATTAGAAAGAACCAGCCCTCTATGAAAAATAGATCAATGATAGATTGAATAAACCAACTTTTCAAAATTCAAAGCTATCTTACCTTTGATGCCATTCTTATAAAAAGTTTATTTTGATTTTCTGCTGTTCCCATCTTTTCATTCTTGACTAAATCACTTAGGCTTAGATTATCGTCATCATGAAAGTATCTGACCCTTTCTTTTTCCTCATGGGTTGAAGCCTATAACAAAATGAGCATTATCAATTTTGTAAAAATATGAGTCTCTGAAGTCTGTTTAATGAATTATCAATAAATCTGATATAAAATGTAAAAATCATAAGCTGTATCTCAAACTTTGCTTCCAGTTTATCCCTATTCTCTTTGCTTCCATGTGGAAAAAAATTTCTCTTAAAATAATACTCCCTCCTTCTGCCACTTCACTATCTGTTCCCCAGAGATGGAAGCATAACACTATTTGATTTCTGAGTTGAGGAAAAGGTTCTACCCCTTCTTCTCTCTTCTTTTGCTTCTCCTCCTTATCATAAAAATGTCCACCCACCAGGGGGAATTTGCAATTATCCAAAGGTAAGCTTACTGAAGTACTAGCAAACTCACTTTAACGCTGTATCAGAAACAAAGCTGATTATTCTAATTTCCATCTACTCAACCCTGGGTTTTCTTATTAGTTGGTTCTATACCTAGGTTTGTAAGAGAAAAGTGCTATTTATTTCCTCCCAAATTAAATATCCCCAATACTGTTCTCACTACATTCCCTTATCCAAATAAAACCTCCTCTTCAACTTCTCTGAGATCTTTGGAAGCATATTCCTAGCATTTCTTTCCAACATTACTATGTTTATCTTCACTAGCTTAAATTTCTTACTCCTTGACTTCAATCACTCCCTCTTATCCTTTTATTACACTGAAAAAGCAAATTTCAGTCCTTAATGAGTATGTCTGTTTTCAGTAGTATCCAACTCAAAAAAGCTCCCAGTGCCATCTGAGCAGTTAAGATTCCTAGTGAATTCTGTCATTTCATCTAATTCAGGCCTTGATTCTTCTCCTGCCTCATCACCACTCCAACTCCTTAATTGCTTTTCTTAATTGAAATAGACACCACCCAGGTCTGTTTGCTAAGTAAATTAATCACTATCTCTAGCATCTCTAGTACTCAACAGATAAATATTTGATAGAAAACTTCTGAATGGACAAATCATTCATGGATGCAGTTACCACTTATGCAATCCTCAAATTTTTTAAGAAACCTAATTTGGGAAAACTGAATGCATTATTTTTGCCATTTCAAGTGACTCAAAGTAGTGCTAAAATTAACTGCTAAGTGAAAAGATTTGGAGGAGGGGGAGTCAGGTGTATGAAGGATGATGGCAGCTACATAATTAATACAGTACTGTAATATGGGTCCTACATACCTGGGCCTTAAATTAGTTAACACAGACAACATGTCTGGGAGACCCAGGTCTTCCCTTAGAGCTATGGTAAGGAGACAAAAAAGCTTGAAACAATGTCAAAGATACACACACTAAAATTAAAATTGTCTTTAAATACTGCACATCAACACTTAATTGAAAAACAGAGCTGAATTAGATTTCATTTTGTAAAAGGCAAACGGAACGGTTTTAACTAAGAATAATAATTTACTACCTTCTAGTGTTTGAATTAGGAAGTTACATTTTAGGAAATATTTTTAAGTAGTCTGATGTAAAGAAAACCCTCAGGGGAAAAAAGGCTTCTGATTAATTAAACAAAGATATATTTTAAATATACCATTTGTCTCTTCATTCTTTTTCCTTTAGATTCCAGAGGTCTTGCTGGTGTGTCCACAGGCCACACTCTTCCAGACTGATCTGTTCTGACAAGAACCACTTCATGCTGGTCTTCATTCTGTGGGAAGATTTAGAGACAACTTTTGAAATTATTGTGAAGAGTGTTAAACACATATTTAATAACCAAAAAAAAAAAGCATAAAGAATGAATCTAACTTTCACATAACAATATGGATTATCTTAAGTCTCCTAGAATTTCACTACCCACAATAATGTAAAACAACTACAATCTCTTCAGGGGAAAATAGCAAAAAGTTGTTTTTGTTTTTGTTTTAAAAAGCAATCAACCAAATTTCAAATAAAGTTGTCATCTAGGTAATATAAAAAAATAAACTACAAAGAGCTAAACAGACATTGGATGAAAATATCTATCATTGAGGCAGATGTTGTGCTTAATGGAAAAAGACAAAAAGAGCACACACACACAAAACCTACTAAAACTTTATTACAAGAAATAATACAACTAAGTGACAAAACAAACTTATTAAATTAGTTGTAAGTTACTCCACAAAGCTTCTGTTCTTTTCATTAACAATGCTTTTTTCAGGGCCTCCCTGGTGGCACAAGGGGTTAAGCACAGCACTATGAAGCAATCCGCAGCCTCTGCAGCACGAGTTTGATCCTCAGCAGGCCAGGGAGAAACCACATGGTGAAGCAGACCTCTCCTGTCTTGTCCGTTGCTCCTCTCAGCAGTGTATTTCAATCAGTCTGCCTGTTTTGTTCCCCACTCTGTCTCTGGTGAATCCTCTCACCCCTCACATCTCTGGCCTGTATGCTCTTGTATGTATAAATAAATAAATCTTTAAAAAAAAATGTTTTTTTCAGAAATAGAAGACAAAAAGAAATGGAAAGACATCCCCTGCTCATAGATAGGAAGAACTAAAATTATCAAAATGGCCATCCTACCAAAAGCAATTTACAGATTCAACACTATGCTAATAAAAATCTCAATGACATTCTTCAAAAAAATAGAACAAATACTGATGAAGTTCATATGGAGCCACAAAAAAAACCTCGAGTAGCCAAATCTCTCCTGACTAAAACAAAGGAGAATGGAGGTATTACACTCCCAGATTTCAAGCTACACTACAAAGCCATAATAATTAAAACAGTTGGCATTGGAACAAAAACAGACACACAGCCCAATGGAACTGAATAGAAAGCCCAGAAATAAAGCCACATATATATGGACAACGAATCTTGACAAAGGAGCAAAGAATATGCAATGGAACAGGACAGTTTGTTTAATAAATGGTGTCGGGAAAACTGGACCACCATAAGCAAAAGAATGAAACTAGACCACTACCTCTCACCATGCACAAAAATCAACTCAAAATGGATAAAAGAACTGAACATAAGACCTGAAACCATAAAATATATAGAAGAAAATATAAGTAAAACACTATAGGACATACATCTCAGTAACATCCTTAAACACTTATCCCCCCAAAGCAAAGAAAGTGAAGGAAAAGATAAATAGCTAAGATTATATCAAACTAAAAAGCTTCTGAACAGCAAAAGAAACATCAACCAAAACAAAGAGACACCCCGCTGATTGGAAAACAATTTTTGTACTCCATACAACCGATAAGGGACTCATCACAAAGATATACAAAGAACTCACATAATTCAACAAAAACAAAGTAAAGAATCCAGTCAAGAAATGGGCAGTAGGACTTAAAAGACATTTCTCCTAGGAGGAAATGCAAATCAAAACCTCATTGAGATACTCCCTTACACCAGTAAGAATGGCACATATCAGAAAAACTAGCAACAACAAATGTTGGCAAGGATGTGGTGAAAAAGGAACTCTCTTACATTGCTGGTAGGAGTGCAAACTGGACCAACCACTATGGAAAGCTGTCTGGAGATTCCTCAGTCTACTAAAAATGGAGCTACCACATGACCCAGCAATTCCACTCCTAGGGATCTACTCAAAGGACACAAAAACATTGATTCAATAGAATAGCTGTACCCCTATGTTTATTGCAGCACTATTTATAATAGGCAAAACCTGGTAACAACCAAAATGCCCAAAAATAGATGACTGGATCAAGAAGATGTGGTGTATATATACACAATGAAATACTATTCAGCAACCAAAAAAGATAAACTCATGCCATTTTCAGCAACATGGATGGAGCTAGAAGAAGTTATGTTCAGTGAAATAAGACAGAAGGAAAAAGAAAAATATCGGATGGTTTCACTTATAGAAGTAATATAGGGGAATCAAATAAGACATCAGTGTAAAAAAATAATAACTATACAAAACACAACAAAACAAAAACAGGCAATTATAAATCAGAGACATCCTGCAGGGGAGGAGGAGAGAGAGGGATCAAAGGGAGGGAGGGAGGAGCATAGGGGACTGAGGTGATGGTGCATGCGTGAAGGAAATTCTATGGGGACTACACCTGAGGGGTGGGGGAGAAGCAAATATTGTTTAAAATCAAAATATCTTAGGAGATAAAATAATAAAAATCCAAAAGAAATAAAAAAATGAACAGTGATGTAAGAAATAAATGATTAAAAAAAAGTATAAAGAAAGTGAATTCCACTGTCTCCTCCATTTCATGCTACCCTTTAAACACTGAGGATTCCAGGGCTCACTGGTTTTCATCCTTCTAGCCTGAAACCGAATTATCACTCGTACTGCCAAAAAATTGATTATGTTTAACACAAATATAATTATGTCATTCTTTGCTGAAAAACCTGCAGAACCCCATACATAGCACCTAGAGATCAATACCACTCACTCACAGTGTGTCCAATAGTCAGTGCTGGTATGAGAATTATCATCCATGAAAGACTTGTTACCAGTTCATGATGAGTTAAGTGTAAAAAACTGAGTGTTTATAAATTTTCACAGCAATCTTAAAGAGTAATTTTACATTGGTTCAATCTTAATAAAATTGGGCACTGTACTTTGTAATTTCATTTTCATTTTATTCTATTTTTCTATAATCTACATAGTATTTTACAGAATTTATTAATCCATGATGGACTGGAAAATTTAAAATAAAAAACCCACTCTGACCTTACGCCTTTTCAGAAACACTACATTACAAACTGGAATAGGGCCTCCCCAGTAGCACAGCGGTTGAGCGCTGGGTTGCAAAGCTGCCTGCAGCCTCTGCAGGGCCGGTTCATTCCCCCTGCTGGCAAGGGTCCCACATGGCACACAGACCTCTCCTGCTGTGCCCGCTGCTCCCCTCAGCAGTGTACCTTGGTCCTTCTGCCTGTTCTGCTCCCAGCTCTGGCTCTGGTGAATACTCTCACTCTCCCGTGAATCTGGCTGTACCCAGTGCTTGTATAAATAAATAAATAAATCTTAAAAAAAAATGGAATAAAAAGATCTAGTACCTTAACACAGTCTTTAAGGGCTTCAAATTCAAATACTTGAGCAACTTGTTCAAACTGACTTCTCTAGCATTCCATAAATATTTGTAGATTTACTGTACACTTTATTTCCTAAATAATTATAGTCATAATTATGTTTTTAGTCCATAATCTTTTTAGTATTATTGAATTGTCTGTTACAATTATCCCTTCATCACTTTTCCAGGATATATAGCACATATTATCTATGTGGCCTGGATACAGTGGATACTCAGTAACTAATTACACTCCCAAAACTAACCTACTGTCACCTCTACTTTTTTCTTCTCCCTTCTCTTTCTACTTTCTGTTCCCTGGTCTCTCCAATAAAAAGAACAGTACGTTTTGCACTTTGGGTACCCAAGAGAGAAATGTTGAGAAGACTAAAAATAATGAGTAATTTCCATATTTTTACTGCATTAATGCAGAACATTAGATTTATTTAAGTATCTCTATCAAGGTCTACAAACTCTAGCCCACATGTCAAATCCATTCTGCCGCTTGTTTTTGTTTGGCTCAGGAGCTAAGAATAGTTTTTACATTACTACATAGTGGGTGGGTAGCAAAACAAAAGAATATTTCATGACAAATGAAAATTATATGCCGTTCTAATTTTAGTGCCCATAAAAAAGTAGTGTAAATAGAACAAAGCCACACTCGCTTATGCAGTGAGCAGTTGTGGCACAGACTGTTCACAGTCCAGAAAGTCCCAAATACATACTATTTCATCTCAAGGGAAAAGATGGAAAATCCCTGATCTATATTATTCTTTAGCTGATAAAACAAACTGAAAGCCATTAAATGAATCCATTGGGTTGTCAAAAAGTCATGACGTGTTTAACATAGAAAAAATGTGTCATGACTTTTCTGACAACATAATATTTTATTCTTGAAAAGAGGTTAAGACAAAAACTTGCAACTGACAAATATCATTCCACATAGATTCATGTTCGTAACAGGTAGGGTCAGAGAATGTGGTCAGTGTTCTTTTGTGAAAATAATTATGCTCTGATTTCTATTTCTGATCATAATGGCCATGACACAAACCAGATATAACCTGCCACTTGTTAAAAAACTAAGCAACAGGAGAAAATACATGAAACCACCATTCCAAACAATAGACACCACATAGTAAAGGACTGTGATCTCAGAAAGAAGGAAAACAATTAAGATGAGCCCTGGAGTTGTCCCTGCTTTCTACTAAGCTATAGGCCACAGTACAGAAAGGTGGAATCGAAACAGACCTCACTTGCCTTATTAACTGAACAGAGATATTTTTTAAGATTTTGGAAGTAAGTGAAGATCAAGCAAAGAAAATAAAGCAAGCAAACAAAATGACGCAAATATTAATGACAATAACGAAACCTTTTTTACATAAAAGGCAATTATAATCTGGCTTAGCAGTGTCTACTAATAGAATCAAGATATGTCCCTTTAGAAATATCCAAGTATAATAAAAGCCTGTATTCACAAAGAAACCTATATGCAAATTTTGTTTAGCAGCTCTGTTCAGAGTAGCAACTGATAACAACCTGATGGTATCTCTACTGGAAAACTGATAAACTCTGGTATCTCCATGAATTACATGAGCAATAAAAAGGAACTAGTAATACACAAAACAAACATAGGGCCAGAAAATAGCTCAGTGGTTGCCAGCAACTGAGGATAGTGGGAAGGGTT